GTGGCCATTGCTAATGTTCTGCTTCGCTTCTTCGGTACTCAATTCTCAACAAATTTACTTTCTCCTCAATTCCCGCACACGCAATCTCCGGATTTCACAGGAGCAGGTGAACTTGAATTTGTAGGGTAATCTCTTCCCTTTTTTTACCATTTTTATGCCGGTTTGAAATTTGGGAGTCCTCATCGTCGTCGAGAAGTTCAGGTTTGGAGAGAGCGCTCCAAGAGGGTCTGCCTTTGTCGCCATGGGACTTCATAAACCTTCTTCCTTTTGCTGGAATCCCGCAGGTCAGAGGTAGACAGTTTTTTTTTTTTTTTCTTGCTTTTAACATGATTTTCGCACACGCAAGTCAGGAGATAGAGACGGGAGCAGGTAAACACTTCCCCATCTTCATAACCCCACCCAAACATTTACTCTAATTTTCAATTCACAGAGGGAATAAACTACTCAGGAAAATAGATTGGGGATGGATGCACGAAGACAAGGGGCATCGAGAATGTCTGCTCCGGTGACCGAAGTGTGAAGAACCGCACCGAGTATTTTCCCCTTTCTGTGAGGCTTTTATTGAACGATTTGTGATCTTTTTACTGGATTTTGTTTCTAATTTTGCTCTCTCTCTCTTTCTTTTTTTTTTCTTTTTTTTTTCTTTTTGCTTTATTTGAAAATATGGACTCTGAAACTTTTTGCCTAATGTTAAGAAATCGGGTCGGGTCCTGGAAAAGCAAACTAGGATGACTGCTCTACAAAGATGGAAGTTAAAAAAGAAAGCGAATTTGGGGGATATTCTAGGCGCTTCTTCTGACTTGCGGCGTGCAAGCCGCGCAGGTGCTCTGGAACTGGTGTTTTTCTGTTGTTGTGCTCAGCAATTTTGTTATTGTCATTGCTATCGTGCCTGCCAACCACGATTCAACAGTGAGTGATGTGTCTGTCCCGTGTTCGGAATCGTTGCACTTTGCCATAAATTGTATGGACTCTGGTTCGACGACAACAAGCCGTGGTGTTTCGCGACCACGCACATGTGACTTTTACTGCCGTTTGAGATTGCTGTTCCAAGCAATTTTGGGTATCTTGTTTTTATTTTTGGGGATTTGAACATTTTCTTGTATTCTTAAGCTACCAATGATGGACGGCATTTTTTGGAACGTGTGCCTGCCGCAGCGTGCACACTCCATGTGCAGGTATTGTGGTGCAAAGAAGATTGTATCTTTGTAAAGGAATATAGATTAAGTTCTGATCGTGGGTTATGTATGATTTGCACAGTTGATTGAGCTTCCAATCTCGACTTCTGTGCATTAGATTGTTAAGATTTATGCTACTATTTTCAATCATTCTCTTGACAGGATGACCACCGAGCCCGTAACAGAAACAACAGCAGCATGCACGAAACCCATAGCCTGGCTCGCACCAAAAGGATTTTTGTCGGGGGCCTTCTGTCCACAATCACTAAAAGCGACGTGAAGAAATATTCCAGCCAATTTGAGACCATAACTGATGTGGTCGTGATGTACACACACAACACGCAAAGGCCCAGAGGTTTTGGGTTCATAATGTATGATTCGGAGGCACCGGTGGATAGAGTCTTGGTGAGAACATTTCGCGAGCTCAACGGTAAAATGGTCGAGGTCAAGCGTGTCGTCCTGAAGGAGCTGTCCCCTAGGCTTGCACGGAGCCCGTCGAGCTACAGCCCAAACCGGGCAGGCGGGCTTTTCATCTGTTACTGTCCAGGTTACAATAGTTTGAATGCAGCCGGTGGATGCGGGATGAGGATGAATGCCCGGTTTAACACTATTGGTCGAGTACGAGTGTCCATCGTACAACCCTGGAAATTATAGTGTGGGGTCGAGTTTGGAGACTTGATGGGGTAATCGAGATTTCATATTCAGTATAATACACTGTTCTTTCATTAGAAATACATTTATCTTTTGCACTGTATCGTCCCATGTCATATGAGTCTATACAGGCATCATATTATATCTTACACACCTTTTCATTATATAATTTTGTTGTTTTCTAGACAAGATATTGGTGCAGTGTCTATATGGAGTGCATCATATGCTTTCTGCTTTGACAAGCAACCTTGGGGCCTAGGAAATTTTGAAGCTCCAGCGAGAGAAATTATCGGTATGTTATCTGACTGCTTTTTTTTT